TCTAATATCTTTCTCTTTTTACTATAGCATATATATTTAGTAACTATAAGCAAATAGTATTAAAAGCATGAGCAAATTAATTTATTATATATTCACCATTCATTAAAAAAATAATTGTAACTAATTATTTATTTTATAATTATATATAGAATAAATTGTATAACATTCAATAATTCTATTGGTAAGTAAAAATGTCCCATGGATTTTTATTAAAAAAAAGAAGCCATGCATTGAATTACAGTTATATAGATATGAAAGTAAAATCGTAATTTTATTTAGTATTTCTGTTTAAAATTAAGAAAGAATGATCTAACATTGATATTTTCTGCGTATTTCATCAACTTCTTTATGAAGTGTTCTCTAGTAACAGTAAATTTTGAAATTTTGTATTAATAATAACAGCAGCTATATCTTTTTCATCATAATGTTTAATTTATTTAGTTGCTTCCAAAGTTTATTTTTTCTTAAAATGATTCTTCAGTTCCATATCCATCAAGATCCAATAATAAATTATTTTCTTTTGATATTTTTAATTTCCATTTATTCTTAAACTCTGAATTAACATAAATAATTTTTATATTAATAGAATTTGATTTCATTGATGATTACAAGAAGACACATATAATAACATCATAAATACAACAATCAAAGTCTGAAATTTAAGAAATTATTTGAGACATAAAGATAAGAAAATAAGATTAAGGAGATTCAAGTAAAGTTAGATAACTTCAAGATCATACAAGAATAAAAAATGGAGTTTAAATGTAATGTTGAGAATAATTTGGAAAAGATATATAGTCAGATTAAAGCACAAATATTTACAATTTAACAAGAAAAATAGTCTTTATTAGACAATTTTTAAAATTTAACATAATTTCTAAGAGGAAGTTAAATCTCTTTCTGAATTTCTTTCAACAGAGACTTAAGAAAAATAGTTAGAATTGTATTAGGATAATTAATTTATGGATGAAATTGCTAACTAATTTGACCTTTTATTAATAGTTCATCATATTTCTAAACAATTGACACTTTTAAGGATTGTAAATAGAAAAAGAATCAAATTAATTAAAATAACTAGATTGAATTAATGTCAATTCAAAATAAACATAGTTAAGTAAATATTATCAAAATTTAAGAAAACACCTAGTTTAAACAAAATTTGTCCTTCTCATAATAAAGAAATTATTATGATTGAAATAAATAGTAAACTTAAAAAAATAGAAGAGAGATTTGCCTGTGTTGATTGTATTAGTGATCATCCCAATTGCCAATATCGAACTATTGAAAAAATTAATTAGTAATGGAATCACACCAAGAAAAAGGAGGACAGAATATTTTCTGATTTGAAGATGAAAAGATAAGAAAATTGAATAAATAGATTTCTATAATGAGAAAAAATCACTACTAATAACTTAATGAAATTAGTGAAAAATTAATAACAGAATTTTCAATACAAAATACCTCCAAGAGCTCTACTTAACCACAGATTAACGTAGAGTCCTAAGCAAGCCAAAAAGAACAATGCAAGCCCAAATATTAATACAAAAGTTGCCACACTAAAATAATAGTAACTATTTGCCTTTTATGCAAGTGTATAATACTTAATAAGATAAGGTCAGTTAAAGATAGCAATATCATATTTAAGCTTTTGCCAATTTTGTTACTTGAAGAAAATTTTCCTATCTTAATTAATAAAACATAGAATAAAAGACTATTTAGCATAGAATTGATTATTACTAAAGAATACATCCCATTATTAATTCTTAATCGGCTGATTTGCAAATAATACACTACAACCAACATATTTGCATCTTCTACTTTTCCCAAATAAATTTTCTAACCTGAGTTGTAACCATACGTTGTATTAGAAGCCAAATAAAGAAATTAGGTTTGTTTATCTTGAATTTCAGGTTCTAAATTATTTCTTCCTTCGCAAAATAAAATACAATTCTTCTGCGTGTTGTATTTGAGTTTATCATAGTAATGCATAACACGTGAGGCCGACTGATGCAACTACATCTTAACAGACCTCATATGATTCTCTCAAGCTTGCAATTGTACATAATAAACTTTCTTCTTCTTCTAGTTGGGTACTTTTTTTGCATATACTTTTAATATTGCCCATCTCTTTGCAGTACTTGTTGTCGCGCTGCTGAGATGAACACACTTGTTCTTCTCTGAGTCTTTGTTAAGATCAAGATCCCTTTCATAAAGTATGTACTAGTTTGTAATAATTGCTAAGCTTCTAGATAAATGGAAGTAGTTGGACATTATGCCTTAACTGTATTAAATGCAGAGACTTGAGTAAAATTCACAGAAGCGGTTATAATTTAATTTAACTTAATAGACTGCTGATATCTCATTATTCTCAGTATCTATTATCTAGTGCTGTTTTTTTTTCATACTCTATTAAAAACAACAAGTACTGAATGATAATGCTTGCAAAATATCTTGACCTCGATTTGTATTTTTTATTGTCATTGTAGATGTATTACACTCTACTTGTACATAAGGTTACAAGATTAATACTATGTATATTAATAATTATAAGAATGTGTCAACATATATTGTTTTGATAAATTCATTATGGTTATTCAGGTTTGGTATTTTTCCACTTTAACGCCAAACATCTGCCAAAGATAATAGCTCATGGAGTTAACAGATATTATAGTATACAAAAATATATTATCCAATTATTACATCAACATTTTTAAGCAGTCGAGATATCTAACCTGCTCAGGTACATGAGACGACAGATATAACATAGCCTCAATAGATCTAAACAAATTGAATTGTTCTTTCGTTGTTGTTGATAGGAAATTATAAGAAGTTAATTTAACAAAAGGTGTCATTATTAGTTAAATATCTTCAAAATATCCTGCCAACAAACAAACAATTTTTTAGGTAAAGGAATTGTATTTTACATAAAAATAAAAGTAGACCTTATTTAATCATCAAATTTTTCTAAAATGAGTTTTAACAACTTATTTACCTTATTTCTAGGATAATTGTGAAATTCTAATTGCTGTTGTTATTGCATTTTTGCAATATCTAGAAATAATAATCATCTATGCAAAGTTTTAAGTAATAAACTTCATTAGCAAATAATCAACAAAGGTAAAAGTCCATAACTGAAGGAGAGGAGCTATAGGAACAAGATTGACTTAAGCGTGTACTAACAAGTTCCAAGAACTTTTGGTAGGATATGGTCAATTTGTGAAGATGTTGCAATATTGATGTATCTATAACAATCTCAATCATACAATTTGATTATTAAGCACTGTTACAAAGTATTGGACACCTCCTCTTAAAACCAAAACTTCTAAAGTAAACTTGTTCTTTAGATATATCAATTTTAACATGCACTGTCTGGTGTATGAGTATTCAAAGTTGAAGGTTGCGAATACATGTTGTTCTCTTAAAATGATCTGCGATTGGCAATACAAAGCATTAGAGCTAAACTACCGCAGTTGTATGATGCATCATCATATACATTAATTAACCGAGTACATTTTATACAGGAAATCGGTATATAAAAATTTCAGGTTCCATGAAGAAAACAATATAAAAACTCTAATATCACAAAAGAAATTTCTATTAATGAAACAAGATCAATCTGTATTTACATTGGTTCAGTTGAAGCAGTCAACAAAAATAAACGAAGGCTCAATGCATTCTGAAATGAGTATATATTCCTTATTTATTATGAATTTCCATCTTTGAATGAAATGTTTATCTTCTACCTTTAACTTGATAAATCATTGCCTTTTACTTATTTTGGCACATACACAATTCAATTATTATGGATTAATCCATTGATGAACAAAAAAAGTTCACTTTTTAATTAAATTGCTTGAGACAAGAGATATTTATAACATAAATGTGCGACAAGTAGCTTCTTAAGTGGTTTGATATTGAAGGTGATTCTTGCACATACATATAGGAATATGTTACTAGTACAATTCAGTTGAATCAGTGTTAAAATATATTTTAGACTGCATNATTTTTCCACTTTAACGCCAAACATCTGCCAAAGATAATAGCTCATGGAGTTAACAGATATTATACTATACACAAATATGTTATCCAATTATTACATCAACATTTTTAAGCAGTCGAGATATCTAACCTGCTCAGGTACATGAGACAACAGATATAATATAGCCTCAATAGATCAAAACAAATTGAATTGTTCTTTCGTTGTTGTTGATAGGAAATTATAAGAAGTTTTTTTAACAAAAGGTGTCATTATTTGTTAAATATCTTCAAAAATATCCTGCCAACAAACAAACAATTTTTTAGGTAAAGGAATTGTATTTTACATAAAAATAAAAGAAGAACTTAGTTAATCATCAAATTTTTAAAATGAGTCTTAACAACTTATTTATCTTATTTCTAGGATAGATAAATGTGAAATTCTAATTGCTGTTGTTATTGCATTTTTTCAATATCTAGAAATAATAATCATCTTTGCAAAGTTTTAAGTAATAAACTTCATTAGCAAATAATCAACAAAGGTAAAAGTGCTTAACTGAAGGAGAGGAGCTATAGGAACAAGATTGACTTAAGCGTGTATAAGTATTTTTATCAACGGATTGAACAATACTAACAAGTTTCAAGAACTTTTGGTAGAATATGGTCAATTTGTGAAGATGTTGCAATATTGATGTATCTATAACAATCTCAATCATACAATTTGATTATTAAACACTGTTACAAAGTATTGGACACCTCCTCTTAAAACCAATACTTTCAAAGTAAACTTGTTCTTTAGATATATCAATTTAACATGCACTGTCTGGTGTATGAGTATTCAAAGTTGAAGGTTGCGAATACATGTTGTTCTCTTAAAATGATCTGCGATTGACAATACAAAGCATTAGAGCTAAACTACCGCAGTTGTATGATGCATCATCATATATATTAATTAACCGAGTACATTTTATACAGGAAATTGGTATATAAAAATTTCAGGTTCCATGAAGAAAACAATATAAAAACTCTAATATCATAAGGTGTAAAAGCAATTTCTATTAATGAAACAAGATCAATCTGTATTTACATTGGTTCAGTTGAAGCAGTCAACAAAAATAAACGAAGGCTCAATGCATTCTGAAATGAGTATATATTCCTTATTTATTATGAATTTCCATCTTTGAATGAAATGTTTATCTTCTACCTTTAACTTGATAAATCATTGCCTTTTACTTATTTTGGCACATACACAATTCAATTATTATGGATTAATCCATTGATGAACAAAAAAGTTCACTTTTTAATTAAATTGCTTGAGACAAGAGATATTCATAACATAAATGTGCGACAAGTAGCTTCTTAAGTGGTTTGATATTGAAGGTGATTCTTGCACATACATATAGGAATATGTTACTAGTACAATTCAGTTGAATCAGTGTTAAAATATATTTTAGACTGCATTTGCTTAATTCAAACATGGTATTAAAAATGATAAATTCAAAATATTTCTCTAACTTTTACATGCAACCCGCAGTATATAAATTAGTCATTGTTGTGACAAAAATCGTAGAGCGACATCAATGTACTAATGTATGAAAGGAGTTTAAAATATATAAAATGAATGGATGGATGTTATACAATGAGTAAACTAGCAACATCTATATGTAAAAGCTTTTGCATTATAAAATAAAAGATCTCCAATTATTGCCATCAACGACAATGGTTGCGCTCAAATTACTTATTTCAAGGAGAATATAAAACTCTATGAGTTAGTGGAGACATTTATCTGCATTTTCTTTTGAGTGCTGGATATCATTTAAATTTAAATACTCTTAATCTAATAATTTGAACTACCGGGCGATTATATTGATAGTCTCTTTAATCTTCTACAGTCATTTGTATTTACAAAGCCTTATAGGCATAATTAACACACAGCAAAAATAATGCTTCTAATACTTTCACTAGTGAGAACATTTAGAATTGAATTAGACAAGAAACTTTAACGGCAAGATGAATTAATTTTGATAGCTTAAGCAGTCAATAGAATGTGAATAAAAAGTATCATAATTAGAATACTTTTTGATTATTCTCAATTCATTCTTAAAAACAAAAGCACAGAAAGCAGTTACAGTTTACTTCTAATTCAAATGCCACGATTTTTGTCAACAGTATATACATTATCACTTATTGCTGCCTAGTGTTTATCTTTTGAATAAATGCTAGATGTTCTCTAAACCAAGATTTACACTATGTATTGAGTTTTGAATAATAGAGCTTTCATTTTAGATTGCCTAAAGTGATAAGTAACAAGGTTAGGTATTTAATGATAGTCAAGCTCTCACATTTGTCTTTTGTTTACGCATTACTGCATTCTCTTTTAAATTAAAATATGTGA